CTTTCTCTGAATTTTGTGAAAAGAAATTCGTCATTCACTTTAATTCTTTAGACACTCAGAGGGATTTAAAGATGCTATGGATCTTCAGTCTTCAATAATAAGGATAGTAGGTTGGCGAACTTGTGGTAATCCTGACAGATTACCTTCCAGTGAAGATCCAGCTTCTCCTTGAAAATATTCACTGATTGGGCTAATACTACTAGTTCGAGTGAGGCGTTTCAGTCATTGATCACTCGATGAGAAAGATGGGACCTCACTTTAAGTTTATTAGTTCGCGATTTGTGAACATCGGAGATCATTAATGCTGGAGGGAGCAAATTATGATTAAAGATACGAAGCGTCAGTATAAGGTCACTTCGCGTCCCAAGATACGACAAAGGGAAAAGGTTTAGGCGTTTTAAACGTTCATCATAAGGGGGTTTAGAAAGACGCTTTACTAATTTTATTCCCACAAGATGAACACGCTCAAGTGAGTTATTATCCTTTATCAGATATTGGTTAGCTGTTTCGATACAGTACTCTAAGTGTGGTATTACATAGGTGGGATATAAAATTCGAAACATTTCCTCCTCAAAGCATTTGAATGCTCGACCAAGTGACCATAACACAGCTGCGTTGCAATGAGTAAATGTTTCAAGTTATGACATATTATTACTCTTAAGTTCTTGAACGTGTGGAAGAGATTTACCATCAATGTATGATGGCGACTTTTACCGTGTCCGATATGCATGGGCACACTCTTCCTAGAATTAACTTCTAAGCCCCAACCTCAAGCACATCTAACTAATTCGTCTAAGACAGCTTGGAGATCAAAATTATCAACCCTTTTCTTGTTTTTCTTCAGATTTTTACATCATCTACAAACTATGATGTCGACGACCTAAGCAACAGCGTTAATTCATTGGCATAGTGAGGAAGAAGTAGAGGGCCTAAGATGGTGCCTTAGAGTACACCTATTTTGACCGGCTTCCGTTCGGATAGCGTTCCATTGACGCTCACCCTCTGTCTGCGGTTACACAGGAAGTTTCCTTTCCATTTTGTACAGCACCTGTCATTTCGAAGCTCAAGAGGTTCTGCATAAGACATAAGTGTGAAACCTTGTCAAACGCTTTGCTAAAATCTATGAATATCACATCGACAGACAGACCGTTATCTATGGCTGGTGTTCAATCTTCTCTCGCTATAAGTAAGTTATTCAAGCGTGAACGCTCGTTACGAAAACCGTGTTGCTCGGGAGTTAACAGATTGTGCGAATCTGTGAAGTAGTAGCTTAACCAGAATTATCTTTTCAAGCAACTTAACGACTATGCTATTTGGACTGACAGGCCGGTAGTTAGATACGATCTGTCTCTGACCATCCTTAAATACAGGATCGACTATAGCGTCTTTCCAATCTCCAGGTAGTTGAGAGAGTGAAAGGGACATGTTGAGGAGCGTCGCGAGCGGTCTTGAAGTAATGTCCGCAAGAGATGACGGCAGTCGTGAAAATAACCCGTCAGGGCCCGGTGTCTTACAAGTACTGAAATTAGTTATCAATGGAAAAACAGTTTCCTCATTCACATGTACAGATCTTATGGCTGATATCTCGGTGTGACTGGGACAATTATTTGCGAAAATGCATGTGGAGTAGATTTCGCTAAATAGTTTGAGAAAGTCTCTGATTCTGTATGTAAGTCTGGATTTTCGTATAACAGTAACAGAAGAATACCATCACTACGTATTGTTCGCCGTTTAACATACGAAAACAATCGTTTTAGACAAGCACGGCTATCATATGTCCACTCTCGATCGTAAGTAATACGGGATTTAACTGTGGTCTTTTTACATATATTCCGGATTTTTTGATATTCACAATTAAATGGTGCGTGTCCTGTCGACAACAATAAGTCCCAGAAGTGTTTCCTACGCTTCCATAGCTTCAGGTTTCGCCATTTAGCTTTCGAGTTCTTAACTCTGTAAGAACATTCTTCCACTTGATTCGATACTTAAGCGACCCATCCGGTCGGATACAAATATTTGAATCACGAGTCTTGTGTGCGTTATTCAATATTACGTCTCTCTCTTCGAAATCCCCGAGCACCGACTTCAAGATCCTTCTTGATTAGATTTCGCCTCCAACTCATCTACCGAGTATTAATACTTTCGTGATGTGTACCGCTGAAACCTCTTCAGCCAACACATTTGTGATTACAAATTCCTCTAACTGCAGATCGCGTGCGTATCTTTTAGCAGTCCAAATAATTAAACTAGGGAATGGTTTAGCCTCTTCGAAAGCCGTGTTCACGGCTATCGACCGTGATGTCAGATCCTGCCTGTTAACTGTTAACGTGGGAGTCGAGCGCATGACTCACAGCAATGTTCGGTGAGGAATTACTTTAGGACTTCGGCGGAGTAATCTGACACGCAGAATGTGAGTCCACCAAGGACTTTTCAACTAAACAGCGCTAGTTTTGGCTACCTTTCCTACTCTTCTACGTTTCCGCATCATCCATTTCCCATCAGTCACTGCATCCACATTAGAACAACTAGGGACGGTAATGCTTTTATCTGCATCATCGGTAGCTGCTGTAGTAACTTGGACACTAATATCTAATGGCGCATTGCTCATTAATTGATTTGAGATAGAAAGCTCTACTGCATGTTGCACAGTTGGGTGTCTGGCAAGTGCTGTGACAGCACTTACGACGCTGACTGAAACTTCAATATCAGTACCCATGTTACCAGTTCAGCCCTCGCCAATTTTTTACTAGCCACTGCCAGGTGGCTAGTTGTCTCTCGAGTGAGCATTGTTTTTCTCGAACAACAGAACATATAGAGCCAATAAGAGTTAGGTTTTGAGCACCTTTTATAGGCAATGGGTCTTAAGCGGGTAAACGCCTTATAGAACCAATTCTTACACTCGTCACATTGCGTTCCTTCTTCCACAGGGAATAGACAGTACGGCTGTCCACGTTTGTGAGCAGAGCCGGTCATCCTAAAAATTGACTAAAAATGTTGACACAAAGTGGATATGTAAAAAACTCAAACACTAACTAAATGAAGTCAAAGCCGAGCAAATATGCTTTGATGCAATGAATACACAAAAGCAAGACTGAAACACACAATTAAAAGATCACTTTAACTGAAACTAATTCAATTAAAAATCAAACAGTAGTCTTGATGGGTAATTTATGATCAAAACGGTAAATTTAACTCAACGACAAACAATACCACTGTCCTTTTTTAATAGCGCGCGTCGTATTCCGAGCTTGACAGTACTTTTACACGTAACACCCTCATAATCGAAGGATACCAGCACAATCAAGTCAGAAGTCATAAATGAAGGGGTCCGGAGAAATATTTAGTAGACTACTGATATGTTGAGAAGCGTTCAGTCTATGATGGCTATTATTTTCAGGGGACCCGTAGCACGGCGTACTGACTCAGGATTCAGTGAGGATTTGTGATAAACAGCCTTCAGCTAAAGTTTGTCCAGCAAAACTAGTTGGGTTAGCATCAATGTTGTAGACTTGCTGAACTACATATTTAGGGGGTTTACCGCTAAAGACTGCTGTAAGCGTTCGTGCTCAACATTTCCTGTTGTTAACTAGTTTGTTTTCGTCCCTCAGTTTCCAGAGGTAGAATCGCAAGAATTATACTTATCGCAACTTGGAATGGTCCTTTAGTAGTCAAACATAAACTCCAAGTAACAAAAATTTCACCTGGTTCGCTTTGTAAAGTTTGATGCTTGAAATCTGGCGCTTATACAAAGTTGTGCGTCCCACTTTCTTTGTCATGGCCCTGTTGGATATAACTGGTTTTGAAACTGTGAATAGTCTAGGAAAAGATCCTGAATCAAGAAATGTGTGTACTCATCTTTCGGAGGTTGATCTTTACCGGAGTCGAAAAACTGAGGTATTGAATTTGGCTTACTATAAGGGTCCTAGAACTACCTACAACCGATAGAATATGGGATACAGTGCAAAGAAACGAAGATTAATTTTTTACACGGTACCACTACTCTTGCACTCAAATATTCTGGTGGCGTCATCGTTGCAACAGACTCGCGTGCAACAGCTGGATCATATATTGGTGAGTTTTCTGATACTTCCAATTCATTGTCTAGCCTCTGGTACTACTAAGAAAATAATCGAGATCAACAAGTATCTCCTTGGAACCATGGCTGGAGGTGCCGCGGACTGCCAATTCTGGGAGCGCGTTTTGGCTAAGCATTGCAGGTGATGCCTAAAACTTCATACTTATATTTTTTAGGTTGTTTGAGCTGCGAAATAAGGAAAGGATATCCGTCGCCGCCGCGTCAAAGTTGTTGGCCAATATGGTCTACAATTACAAAGGAATGGGTCTCAGTATTGGTACAACTATTGTTGGTTGGGACAAAAATGGACCTGGTATATATTATGTTGATACTGATGGCAACAGAACCCCTGGAAACCTGTTTTCTGTGGGATCGGGAAGTCCCTATGCCTATGGTGTTTTAGATACTGGTTATAAATACGAAATGAATGATGAAGATGCGTATGAACTTGCTAGGCGGTCAATATTTCATGCAACACACCGCGATGCAGCGTCTGGTGGATTTGTTAACCGTATGTTTTTTCTGTAACTTATAAATTTTTTTTTACAGTGTATCACATGAAAGAAGATGGTTGGAAGTTTATTGGGATCTATGATGTTGGAGAACTCTACTACAAATATATGTCAAAATAAACTTTGATACAATAATAAAGACTTTTCATTCTTGTTTTGTCTTCTAAATTGTAAACAAATTCTGTTCTTTGTTTTAGAATACCAGAAGACTGTTCGGCATCCGATTTCTTACAGAAATTCATAATCTTATTGTATTTCAAGGAAGGTGGCACTTGGTTTTGTATTTTGCTGCTTTAATATGGGTGTGTGAATATCTTGTTTATTACTTCACACTATACAGTTGTAATTGGCCCGACCCACCCAATGCTAGTGTGAAAAACATACGAAATCCCGACACTGCGATTGTCAATCTAATGGTACTTGCAGACACACATCTCGTCGGATACGTTCTAGGTCACCCCATCGACCGCATTAGAAGGTTTGAATCATTTATTATCTTTACAAATATTTACATGGCCCCCGTAGTCGTTTTGTTGCATGACTTAAAATTAAATGTGTCAGACTTTTTGTATTTAAGATTCTTCGATAAGTGAGTAGGTTTCGACCAATATCAGGAGTTTTAAGTACTTGGTAACTTAAAGTAATATAATACCATATACTAGATATGAGTGTCCATAAGTTCATCAACATCTTTCAATCGAACTGGCTTGTTGGAATGCCAATAAACTTTGTAGTTTGTTTGCGATAACTTCGACGGAACGATGGAATATTTATTAGTCAATAAAACTAATCCTTTTGTGATAGCTAGTGATATTACCCCGCCAATCTTATTTTTATTATTTTATTTGAACACATGAATATTGGTACAAGAGAGCGCCAATATATATGCGCCACACAAAACAATGAGAATTCGAAGAGGAATAGAAAAAAAAGCTAAGGAGCGCAAAAAAAGAGAACACTAATGAAGAGATTGGTGTAAGGTAGTGTGGTAGTAATGAGGGAACGGAAAGGTACAATCAGAAGAAATCTTTCAGGTAAGGGAGACAACCACTTTTTATGAAGAAAGTAAAAGAAGGTTACAACAGGATCGCCACTGGCTTCTATTCTGAGCCATATCTGATAACGTCCCTAGCCACTGTGTAGCACCATCTCTCAGACCCCAACCAGGGAGTCGTGAAGGACCAACACAAGCCAGTCCTTTGCAGCTTTCTTTCATCCCACGACACCATGTCATGCACTGGCCACCTCTCCGCTTTTTACAACCAGTCCCAGAGTCGGCAAATAATGCACGACGTGGAATTCTCTGAGACGACATTCGGAGAACATGTCCAAGCCACCGAAGTTGGTGTTCCAAGATGGTGACACCAATTGAATTATCGTCACTCGGCCCGAACACACGATGCCGAACCTCTGCATTACTGACATCGTGTTGCCACTGAATGTCAGCAATCCTTCGGAGACAGCGATGATCGAACACAGAGTCGTCTAACGTCCTCAACTCGGAGAGGCCAGGTTTCACAAGCATAGAGCAAAACTGCTCTCACTGACGCGTTGTAGATCCGACCTTTTACGGCCAGGCGCCAAAGGTGGCCCAGGTTGGCATAAGCAGCTCTGGCTTTCACTATACGTGCATTGATCTCATCACTCACACCACCACCAGCACTTATGCAGCTACCCAAATACACGAACTTCTCGACTACGTCTATCTGCTCACCATCCAGGGTGAGTACAGGATTAGAATCCTGCCAGTCCTGTAGAAGTACTTTGCACTTCGAAGGTGCAAAGCACATACCATACCTACGAACACTGATTGCCAACTGATTAAGTGTGGATTGTATGGCTTGGGCACTATCACACAGTAAGACAATATCGTCCGCACACTCAAGGTCGAGAAGTCTTTCTTCAGGCAACAGATTCACACCGCAATTGCCTACATCCATCAGAACTGTTTCCAGTGTCGTCGATGGCGAAGTTGAAGAGGAATCGTGAGATTGGGCAACCCTGCCTAACTCCACTGCTCGAATGGGACAATGGAGAAAGGTGGTTGTATGCCCTCACTCTGCCTGAGGTGTTTGTATATAGGGCTTTTAGGATGTTAATAAACTTCTCAGGCACACCCTTCTTCAATAGAAAATCCCAGAGAACAGCCCTGTCCAACGAATCGAAGGCAGCCGTGATGTCAAGAAACACTACGATTGTTGGCCTGTGATAAGTATGGCAATGTTCTAACATTTGGCGGAGGGTGAAGATATGATCAATACATCCTCGACCAGAACGAAACCCAGCCTGCTCCTCGCGAGTCAATCTTTCTCGGGTTTTGAACAACCTACGAAGTATGACGGAAGCCAATAGTTTGGACGCAATCGGAAGTAGACTTATCCCCCGATAGTTGTTACAGGAACGACGTGAACCCTTTTTAAAGATAGGGACAACTATCGACTCATTCCATGACGTCGGTACACTCTCTAGTTCCCAATTCTTTGTAAACAACGTCGTCAATTCCTTAGTCAGAAAGTCACCACCATCTTTAAAAAGAGCCGGAGGTAAGTCATCTGGGCCAGGTGATTTGTTGCGCTTCTAAGAGTTGAAGTTCCTTGCGGACTTCCTCCTCGTTTGGTGAATCAGTCGTCACCGACCATAGAGGGCAGGACAGTCTGACCGATGTTGCCGGAGCAGCAGGCCAGTTGAACTGCCCTTCGAAGAATTCCGCCCATCGTCCAAGACGTCGATGGATGTTAGTGATTGGCATCCCATCATCCTCGTAGATTGTTTCACTCACACCCGACTTCTTGCTGCCAGTGGATCGGATGAGTTGGAAGAGCTTCCGGTAGTTACCAGATGCAGCTGCTGCTTTTAGCTCATTAGCACGCTTCGACCACCAGGCTTCTCGGTCCTTACTCAAACTTTGCCCAATTTCCTTATGTAACATCCTTCGTTTGTGGTCAAACTCACGGTCACCCGGAGTAGACCGACGGGCTTCAATGAGTTGTCAGGAACCTCAAGAAACCCAGTGCTTATAAGCGGGACGTTTCGCGAACCCACAACTGACTGTACCCACCATTTTCATGGCGTCATGCAATTGCAACCAATGCTCATCTATACTTTTCGGTGGAATGGTAGCTAGTTTAGAAGCTAGCTCGGTTCGATACTTACTTGCAACAGAAGTTGCAGCCAGCTTGCTAATATCAATCCGTTGATGGCGGTCACTTCGTTGGCCACTGAAAAGTAAGGTAAGATTGGCGCAGTCCAAGGCATGATCAGAGTCCAGATAGGTACTCCAAAAGGAGCGGCAGTCTTGTACACAACCACGCCAGCGGTAGCTGATCGCGATGTGATCAGAGTCCAGGCTTAAGATGCAGAGGGATGACGCCAGGTGGCACATCGGCGATGACTGTGCCGAAAGTTAGTGCTAGCCAGAAACAGGTTGTGGTCTGTGCACAGTTGCAGTAGACGGTCTCAGTTATCTGACCTGCGACCAACGAGTCCCCATCGGCCACCTAAACGACTCTCTTCTGTGCCTAGACGCCCAACCTGAGCATTCAAGTCTCCGGCTAGTACTACAATATCTGTCGAACGCACTTTCTGGAGAAGAACAGATATCTGGTGGTAAAACTCATCCTTGATTGCATCCGGGCTGCAATCTGTCGGAGCATAGACGGGGATGACGAAAATACATCGTTTCTCACGCCGATTTCTTCTCACTTTGATGGAACTTTCTAATCTAACAACACATAGCCGACTGTTAATGGGGATCCAATCGACTAGTGCTGCCTCAGCTCGAGCGCTTAGTGCGACGCCAGCAAGACCAGACGAAGATGCCACAGGGTCCCCGGATAAGCGCACGTAAAACAAGCTTTTTGAAGCGACAGATGGAGAGCGAATTTGTAGTACTTCACCAGAGTCTTGAATACGGGTTTTTTATAGACAACAAACGTCGATATGAAGACTTTCCAAAGACATAGCCAGCCCTTACTGTTGTCTGACCTGCATAAGCGTGCGAACGTTGAAGGCAGCCAGTTTGTATGGTGCACGTGGTTTCAGAAAAACTGCTTCAGTACTCATATTCAGTGGTAACATACAATTTTCAACCGGACAGTGACTCGGGAACGTTTAGATACAGTCGAATTTCCACCAAAGACGAGCCGCTCTTTAAGTATAAAAGAGGGTGAATAATGTCGTAGTAAATAATAATAATATTAATAGTAATAATGACAATAATAGTAATAATAATAATAGTATTAATAATGACAATAATTGTAATGATAATAATTTGAATCAATTGATTGTTTTTCGAAGCGAGAAAAGTAATTTCCATAGACATAGAGAGTTCATCATTTGTGTGTGGACTGTGATACTGCCCGGGTGCCCAAACCGAAGCAGGTGGTTTTCTTAGGGGGCCACACCCCGAGCCTTTGACCTATAGGTCTAACCCACAAGGCAGTGGAGCATCGTGAGGAGATGCAGTCCCATGGTAGCCGGTGACCAACGACTGGTTCATACACCATTTGTTCCCACAGGATACTGGAGCCCATGTGCACCATTGGTTTGTGATCCGGTCAAAGCGCCGGACATTCGCTTTTCGTCCTCTCATTTTCGTGAACAACACCCCCGCTACGAGAAGGCAATGAGTAGGACTTCCCTGGCAGAGGCTGTATACGCGCGGCCGTGCGAGAGTATTTCGAGAGGGAGAGCGGACTCTCCCCACTCTCGGCCGTGCCAGGGCATTCGGGGGGCCCCGCCAATCTTAGCATTAGGAAACACGATTGTATTTTATTTATTTGTTGGAATTGCTACACATCAACCAAGAAACTCCAAGGTCGTCCTGTCACGATTGGTACGATCCAACTGTCGTGTACGTAAATCGGGACAAGACCGTCAATTGAAAGAGGAATTATCTTAGATTGGCCTCGGCCATACAAAAATCCAGTTTGTCTCTTCCTCTTATGCAATCTGGTATTTGATTGAACAACGAGTAATTCATTTAAATGGCTTTAAAAAGTAATGATAATCAATCCTTAGTAGAACTCATCTAGTTATACATGTGGTCCACAGAACAATGATCAGAATCAACGACAGTAAACAATCGTGGTTTCGATCAACTGTCACGAAACTCGACCCTGAAAGTTTAAAAAACTGTAGCTTCCTTGGGACGGCTTCTGAAATAGAGCTGTTGGGAAGGGTTGCTCATAAGAACTATCCTGACTACTGTAATCATCAAAACATCTCAACTTACTATATATTAATAAACATCTAGTCCAGAATATTATCAATGATATCGTTTGTGATTGTAAATCCTAAGACTGTGACAAAGTGGTATCATTCAGGGTTTCAAACCTAGTTATCACCATTTCAGTAACCCCCTTTATTACTCTAGACATGATAGTTTATTCTGTCAACAGCTACCTGTAATACTTTCGTAAACTTTGCAGATCTGTGTGACGGCGTGGTTAATGTGAAATGTTAAAGCTTATCGAAATT